TTCTTCATTTGAATTGAATTCTAAGGGGAGGGAGCGAAACAGCAAAATCATAACGATTGGATAGAAAATGCTGAAGTTTTTGTTTGGTGGCAATGGTTGTCTTCATCATCCTATGGTTAACGTCCTTCTCACTGGCATGCTCTGCGTCAGAGTTTTCCAACCGAAACATGACACTGAAATTCAGTGATAGACAGTTTCTTCATCATGCAGTTCTTTACCTCATCTATTCGTTTAGGGTATTGCACAATTGACCGCTCTATGTCTCATGGTCTGTTCATTTCGCTTGCCAGTTATCCCCAAGAAGACAGTAGATTTTCCTGACAATATTGTTGTTCATCGCACATTGGTGTGTAATAAAACTGATTTAAAGTCAAAACTCTTGGTTAAAGCACGATATAAACTAGTGAGGAGGCCAAGCTAATTGCTGGAAACAATTGATACTGCGAAAAACCTGAAAAAAGTGTGCCAGCTAAGAACGTCTATAATTTATATCAGAATGATTTTAAGTTAGTCTCATAGTGCAACAGTTATTTAGTACGATGGATCGAAAAAAGATGTTATGCACATATAATTGTTGAAATTCCATCTTTTACATCAAATTAGAAATCAACGAATACCTAATTCCATATCGGACGTTTCATTCAGTAGCGAACTAATAAGCATTCCCTAAAAAGATTGCGATGTAGTGGTTCAAAAACTGGTGCGCTTGTATCAAAATCCAAACTTACTCAGGAAGTTTGAACGTGCTTCAGATGCGGAACTGCATTTTAACACGGTCAGAGATTCGTTCATCTTGATACGCCAGCGGTCTGCGTCTGCTTCCAAAGTTTTTGGCATCAACGCGAATGCCGCAGAACTGAAGAAAGCCATAGGAACAAAACGGTCTTCTCGTTTAGTACAAACCTCAATATGATTCGTTCATTATAAATCATAGTTCATGAATCCTGACGCAGTTTTACCTATGCAAATGATTTTCAGCTAATTTATCTCACAAATTGAATGACGAACAAGATAACTGAAAGAACAACGTTAAGTTAGTTCGTTTAAACCATGTCGTTCAGTAAATGTGTTCAACACTGTGCTTGTGAATGTTGTGGCTGACCATTGTTGCAATTAGCTGATAAAGAGAGCTCACACAATGCAATAAAACCGAATGTAAAAATATCAAGGCCAAAGTTTTATCATGGGAATTAATTACAAGCTCATCCTCATCGTGTCTCCATAGGATATTTACACAATTAATTCATTTGTCGATGAAAAAATCAATTGTCACATAGAGTTCCAGGTAGGAGATAACAGATAACGAATTTACGTTTATTTTTTATTGTGTAGGGATGTGAGGTGTACCAGGGTTTCATTGAGTCTCCGCTTGAAAGATTCAATAGTTGGTGTACAAACGACGTGAAAAGGAAGGGTGTTCCAAATACTGCATACTCTGACTGCAAAAGATTGGATCCGGAATTCCAGTTGACACTTTAGAATCAGTCACTTGTAACGGTGTCCCCTAAGGTGCATGTGGTCCGATAACGCGGGCAACGGCCTAGATAGATGGTTTGAGTTCTGCAGTATTTGACATGTCAAAATCAAGTATACCTGAATTCGACGGTCCTGCGGAGAATATAGTCCTAATGATCGCAATCTTTCCTCCTGGGTGAGATAATGCAATCCCTTGACC